CTAGTGGCTGAGCTCACTTCCATTTCAAGTGAAAGTGTGTGATGAAAGCGGTGAGCTTTCTTGACTTGTTCATCTGAATGTAGTGGTAAGAATAGCACATTGGTGTGATGATGTCCGTCTGATAATGACGGACGTAAGATTAGCATATTTTCATCTGAATCGAAGGAGATCACCACGGGGTCAGCTCCAACAAGAATGCTACGGTAAAGCTAGTCGACAGTTGCCCAAGAGGAAACCGCCGTCGTATTCTGGTGTGATTGGCTTTCGAATCTCTTCATTGCACAGGCCATTAAGGTTTCATGATGATCATCACCTCCATATATATATATACTACATTGTGTGAAAAACAAAATTTTAAAAATATAATAATAGTCACTAACAGGGATAGAGAATTCTTGTTTTTCGTATAGCCAGAAGAAAGTCGACAAGGATTTGAACCATACTTATGCAGTATATACGAATAAAAGTTGTTTAAAAAAATCTTTTAGTTTATAATTGTTGACCTCACCTCCAATCCTCAGGAAAAATTTCTTAAATTGTAGAATATCGCAGACGGTCTAGCGGAAGGGATGGATACGATTTGCGGATGCCAACATGATACGAAATTTAGGCAATAAAATTAACTCAAGAATTAGTTAATTAATGAACTTGGTGCTATTTTTTAGCAAAAATAAGGTCTTTAATTTATCCAAAATACCTATTGATAATAATATTGAGCTCCTCTTGGAAAAGGGGTCTAATCTTTGCCTTTCCAAATGAGCAGAATCATTACATGGAGGTACTGGTTGAAGTAATTATCTTGACAGACAGGCCGCCAAAATAGATTAAGAATAGTATAGAACGGGAAGTGATTCTTTATTGTGAAAAGGTAATTATTGCAAAGAAATCTTGACAGGATTTTTCGATATTTGCACCGAATTTATCTGTTTGTTTTGAAAGCAGACAAGAGTGATGCAATTGTCATGATGGATAGGTTAGGTTATATAGAAAAAGTGATGATCCATTTAACTGACTCATCAGCATACAAAATTTTGGTGAAGGATCCCACGAAGGGTCCTAAAGCTATTACTAGGGAATCGCTGAAAGTTTGTGTAAGCAAAGGGAAAATTAAAAAGTGGAAGCTAAACCCACTTCTTCGGAGGGACGCTAGGGCACCTCTCGCTTACGGCCTTCCAAAAACACACGAGGGTTCCTTTAAGATTGTTCGTTAATAATAAGAGAAGTGTTATGCATAAGATTCACGATTGTCATGCAATAAATTAAGGAAAGAGGCAGACTACTGAAAATATTCTGTTTAAAATGAATATGAATTCGTTAGATTGGTAGGTCAACAGAGTATTGGGGAGGAGGACCATTTGTTGAGTTTCA